TCAAACCCGTGGGCTCAGGCAATCCACTCACCTCGGCCTCCCAAAGTGCTGGGATTACAGACTGAGCCACCGAGCCCGGCTCAATTTATTTATTTTTTTAGTCAGAGTCTCACTCTGTTGCCTCAACCTTCCAAGTAGCTGGAACCACAGGTGAATGCCACCATGTCCAGTTAATTTTTTGGCTTACTGTAGAGATGAGGTCTCAACAAGTTGCCGATGGTCTCTAACTCCTGAGCTCAGGTAATCCTCTCGCCTCCTCCTGCGCCTCCCAAAGTGCTGGGATTACAGGCGTGAGCCACTGCACCCAGCTGTCTGGTCACATTTAAAGACCCAATGTGCCTGACAGACAATGACTACCTCATATTCTTTATAATTATAATTTCCCATTTCATAAAAGGAAAAAGAGCACAAAAAGAGTGTTTTTACAATGTGAGTCTTCACTGGAACTAGAAGGAAAACTCTAGAACTGTCCATTCTAGAGTTCTTGATTTTGATACACCAAACCCAGGGAAAGCAAGCAGGAACAACCCAGGTGTAACTATCCAGAAACCATCCTTCAGAGACTTCAGGAAAAAGGTTTGAGAAATAAGGGCCTCTCTGACACTAAGGTTCCTTCCAAGGGTTAAAACAGAGGACTTAGGACCTATTCTGTTTATATTTATACACACATACTTTGTCTTATATTTGCTCTTTGCTAGGTGTTAATTTGTAAGGTTATTAGAAATTGTACCATTAAATATACTAATTCCAACCTTTATTGGGGTTGTGCTGAAAAGCAATTGTGAATAGAATAGATCTGGGATTTTTTCTTCTTTTTTTTTTGGAGTCGGGTTTTACTCTGTGGCCCAGGCTAGAGTGCAGTGACACGATTACTGCTCACCACAGCCTCAACCTTCTGGGTTCAAGCTCTCCCACTGCGATCTTATAAGATGAAGAGCTCAACATTTAGCAGAAATTACGGGCATTGTTCAGTACAGCATTCTCCAAACTGTATCAGTACAGTACAGAGGTGTATTTTAGATGCTTACAATTCCCTTCAGCAAGTTACTAAGCTCTTACTACAGAACATGGCTTCCCCTGCTCAAAGTTTTACAGTATTTTTTAAAATTTCATGAAAGCTTTAAAAACTGGCACTGAATTAAAAAAAAAAACAACTTCATCCAGAGGTTTTGAACTTACGCAACAATACAAATATTTAAATATCTGACATTTGAGGCTAAATATAATGTTTAAATTATAGCTGAAGGTATCGAAAAAGGAGCCAGCTGAGGCTTTACAATTTTATCAAACCGGACAGCCACGCAGACAAAAACCAGGTGGGATGGACCAGATTAAGTCTTTTCCTCCACCGCGATCTGCCAAAAAATAGCCGTGGACGCGGCACCTGCTCCCCTGCCCCGAGGATCCGGACCTCCAGCACTCGCACCGGGTGCCCGCGCGGACCCGTCCGGCCGCCTCCGCAACTGCCGGCCGTCGGGAAACGGAAAGTTAACCGACAGCCTCCGCGAAGGCTGGGGAGGACGCGACGTGAGCCTCCGCGAAGGCTGGGGAGGACGCGACGTGAGCCTCCGCGAAGGCTGGGGAGGACGCGACGTGAGCCTCCCCGAAGAGGGCGCCGACGACAGAGACCGGGTCGTAGGGGTGTTCGGACGCGGAGGGGACTCGTCCCGGAGAAGACGTCGCGGCGCAGGCAGCTCACGGGAGGCTGCGAGGAGGCAGCGCCGCCAAGGTGGGGAAGAGGCGGCGTCGGGGAGATCGCGGCGAGGGCCCGCCCCGCCCCTCGGCTCACCGTGTCGGAGTCTGTGTTGAGGTGCTGGAAGGCGAGCGCGCCGAGCACAAAGCCCGAGAGCACTGCCGACGTGGTCTCGCCCTCCATGCTGCAGCCGCCGGGGGCTG